GTTTTCTCCTAGATTTTGGGGAAAAAAAAATATAAAAATTAACTATAATTTTAATTCCCATTCAGTGATGGATACTGTGCGTAGCTTAAAGTGAAGAATTATGTTTGTGCTGAAACTTCTCAGAAGAAGCAGCGCTTTTCCTGAGCAGACTATGCTTGTTGTGTAATGTCACATCTCCCCATGTTCTGGTGTGGAAAATGTTTAAATGTAGAAATACACTGGTGTGGTCCTATTCTCTTCTCATGAAACAGCTGCTAATAGAGCTGCTTCAGTTGATGTAGTGGTTGAAATAATTTTAATGCTTAATCAGTAGGAAAACCTTTCTAGTACAGTTAAACTTTGACTACTAATATCCTAACTAGTGAATCAAAGGTTAATTTTGACTTGCTACGATTCAGATAGAAAGTGACTTTAGTGTTATCAAAGTATCCACATGTGTCTGCCCTTTAGGCATTTTGAGTGGGGATCGTGTGTGGAATAGGTAGGTGTGTGGTTTCTCAGTTATGCCATATGGCTTTATTTGAGGAAAAAATTTCAAGTAATTTCACTTCTGCTCAAGGGGTTTAATGTCCTTTTTTTTGCTGTCCTTTTTCTGTCCTAAGGGTGGGCTGGTTTTGTGGCTTCAGATTAATAAGCCCATGTCTCATTCGGTTCCTAAACTGGTTAGCTACCACACTTGAAAAACATCATATTTAGAATTGTTGTGACTGTACCACCATGGGGCTGTTGCTCATGCATGCCCACACCTTTCCATACGCTGGACCGATTCCTTTCCAGTGGCTGGTGTGCATCTTTTTCAATGTTGGTAACACAAACACATCCTCTGCCTTCAGGTTAAACTGTTTGTTTTGCCTGTCTTCACGCCTTTTCTCTCAGTCCTTTCGTTAGGTGCTGCATAAATAGTACATAAAGCAGGTAGCTGTGCCCAAAGGAGTGTTTTGTGAGTGGCCACATGTATAGCTTGCATTCTTTTTTGTGGATGGGAATCAATTTGTTTCACTTCAAAACTTAATAGAAGGCAAGATGGACCCTTTGACATAGATGACAAGGGCAACTAAAATACAGGATGCTGGTTGTTTCATTTAGAGTCTTTGCACAGTAGCTGGTAAATCCTGTGCTGATAGAGAATGTCCGCACCCCAGCACACTTTTTAATGGTGTTGGGAAGTATTTTTTAGAAGTACTCTGTAAATTTCAAGAGATTCAAACACCCATGTGGCTACTGTTTCCTATTCTCCTGCCTCTCAGTATATTCAAAACGTTAAGGAAAAACTTAAGGTTCCCTGAAACTACCTCTCAGCTGCCTGGCTGAGCAAAAACCATGCTTGTGTAAAGCAAACCATGTGAGGTGGTACGAAAGCATCCCTGGGAGTCAGACTATGTCTGCTTCCTGCCTCTTGGAGCTGGAAGCTGGTGGTAGTGCTTCGCAAACTCTGGAAATGTTGGTATAGTTGTGTTGGACTCTAAAGATGGACCAGAACACGTTGGTAGAGTTGTAACTGTGGTTGAAAGCAGTCCCATCAGGTCACATCCAAGAAGTTCAGGTGAAGAGGGTGCTGTGTGCCTTGAGGTTTGGTGGACTTGATCAGCACTGTGTCATGGGAACATGACTTGGGTGTCCTCTGGTACCTTCAGTAGTTAGGGAAGGTCACTACTGAAAAATTGCTTGTGTCAGAAGTTTGGAGCAACAAACCTCTCTCTTCCTGCCACAGCCCTACATACATCCCAGAACTGCCACATTTTAAGACATCAGATAAACTGTACAGAGCACCACAGAAGATCAGCCTTCCAACAAAAATACATTTTCAACTTCAACTGTGCCATGATGCCTGGTGTTGTTCGGTTTTCCAACCGAGTATGTACATAGGCTGGCAAAGCCAAGTGCTTTGGGTGACAACAACTGCTTTCATCATAGAATCACAGAATGGTTGGGGTGGGAAGGGACCTTAAAGACCATCTAGTTCCAACCTCCTGGCCATGGGCAGGGACACCTTCCACTAGACCAGGTTGCTCAAAGCCTCATCCAGCCTGGCCTTGAACACTTCCAGGGATGGGGCATCCACAGCTTCTCTGGGCAACCTGTTCCAGTGCCTCACCACCCTCTCTGGGAAGAATTTCTTCCTTATTACTAATCTAAATCTCCCCACTTTCAATTTAAACTCGTTACCCCTTGTCCTGTCACTCCAGGCCCTTGTAAAAAGTCCCCCCCAGCTTCCTTGTTGCCCCCTTCAGGTACTGGAAGGTGCAATAAGGTCTCCCCGGATCCTTCTCTTCTCCAGGCTGAACAAGCACAACTCTCTTAGCAGAGGTGCTCCAGCCCTCTGAGCATCTCCGTGGCCTCCTCTGGACTTGCTCCAACCAGTTGATATCCTTCTGATAGAGTGGATGCAGAACTGCAGGTGGCGGTCTCAGCAGAGCTAGCACAAATAAGCACAGTGAACTGAACATCTTGCATCACATCTGAGGCACAGAGGTGGATGGAGTGCACATTCCCGTGGACTCACACACACCCACCCACCCCCTGTCAGGTCTGTTAGTGTTGGCAACTGTGATTGTATGAAAAGTGATTGTTAAAAGCTGCTAAAACTATTGCTTCTTTATCTAAAAAAAAAAAAAAAAAACAACCAAAAACCAAACAAGCCCAAAATCTTGCTGGCGGTGTGCAGCATCCACTCAGCTTTCGGTGCAGCTCTTCTGCTATAATAACCAATTGATTCAGCGGATCCTTCTACCCTGTGCTTATATTCTTGTCAGCATGTTCAGCATTGTTTAGCACATACTAATTGCAGCCTGGTTTAGTGCACTGTTTGACCTTTAATGCTCTGGTGAATCACACACAGGCTGTGTCTGTGTTGCTGGCTCTGTCTTTTGTTGGATGTAACTCCATGCGCTAGAAAAAGGTTGGAGGAAGTGTTACTTAAGGGATCCTATCAGATGCTTCAAACAGGAGGAAAGTAAATGCTACTGAACAAAGGAATGTTTGATCCAGGACTGGAAAAATCCTTTAAAATAGTTTGTAGAGTATTGCCTGACCTCCAGCTCTGGTACTCTTAGTATAGGTGTAATCTGAGAAGCCCTCAATGCCTCAGGTTGAGTAGTGTCCTAGATGGTGGCTTATACTTGCGGTGTTTTCCAGCAACAAGTTTCTGAAGAATAATACCATCATTGAACTGTTAATTTGGGAGTGATAACTGCTAATAGTGGGTTGCTCACACATTTGGGAGTGATAACTGCTAATAGTGGGTTGCTCACACATTGTGTTTGGAACTCCCCTTGGCCCAGTGTTTTTTAAAAAATAAAGTTATTTAAAGCTTCAGCAAAATTGTAGAAGCAACTGTGTCAAGTCTGAGTGTCCCCTGTTGCTCTTTCTTTGTGGTGTAGGAAGGGGGAACCCTTTTGATCATCTCGGTAATCAGATACCAGCAATTCTCTGAAGCCCAATTCAGCAAGCCTATTAACTTCCATGTCCTGAAAACAGCCAAGTTATTTGAGAGCCACCTACACAGCTCTCAATTACATTTGTTTCTGATGGTGTGTCTCGGTGGCTTAACCATAGTACCATACTGTGTACTGGAATTAGTAAAACAGGAGTGCTTCAAACTGAATTCTGCATAGAAAAGAAGGGTGAGTCTCATTCATCCATATGCTCCTTGAACAGCAGCATTTTTGGGGGTTCCCAAAAAAGGGGAACAGGCTTTCTGGAGCAAGCGTCCTGCAGAAAGCATCCTGCTGCACGTACAACTGCTGCAGGCTGTTGTGAACCTGTTATCAGACATGATGAGCTTTTTCTTCTTGTTAGCCTGGCCTTAGAAAGAAGGGGCTCAAGGGTTGTGTGAGTGGGGAATCGGGCTGTTTTCCTCCCACTGATGAGGGCTAAAACTTCACTGAGGAAGAACTTTCCCTGCACTCTTCTGCCCTTCTCCATCCCTAAATAAATGCTGCGCATCAGGAAGATTGCAGGAGCTCGCCATGCTCTCCTTTAGATTACCCAGAGGGCTTCACATCTGTGGATGTGAAGTCAGCATCAAGAGTAACAGCACCATGGGTGCTCAAAGTATATGTCACTTTTCTCAAAAAAGGGATCCATGTGATAAAAATCTGCCAGCGTATTGCGTAGTGTTTCATGAAGTGAGCTAATGACTTCTCTTGGGGTGTTGAGGTGAATCCACAGGACTTGTAAGATCAAGGACTCATTTAGATCAGCAAATAAATTTAGGTTAGCAAATAAAGTGGCCAGATGTTGATTAGACATTGCTGGGGGATGGGGAACGGGGAATGGCAATCTTTAAAAACTCTTTATTGTTACTTAGCTCCTGGGTGAGCAGAAGTATAATGCGTTTGCACGTCATTTGAGCATGACGCTTTCATACTTCACAGTTGCAGAAATCATCTTTATAAACAACCAGTTGTCATACAACAGGGAACTACTTAGAAACATGAAGTTTTGTTGCAGTCAGGGCTGAGATTTGCATTGGAGGGTTTTCTTTGGTGTGGTTTTTTTTCCCCTCCTCCCTTAAAATTTCGTTGTGTTCAGGCTAGAGCCAGCAGATAAGTGTCATGTGTCTGAATTCCACTTTTCGAATGGATGCTGGTTGTGCTAGCCTTAAAGGTAGCTGGGAAGAAAGTCTCTGTAGGTGAGCAGTGTACAGTGACAACCGTAAGCACATTTTATATATGAGAGAAATTGTATCTTTTAATTGTGGAAAGTAGGAAATCTTTATGAAAAGCCATTCTGCAAAAGATAGAGTAAATTTTTACCTCCGACTTCACTTGGGTGTGTGTTTGCCCTGTTACTTCTACACTGTGCCTTTGGCAGTCCCATGTGATTTTTTTTTTCTTTTTTTTTTTTTCTGTTTTCCATCCAATAGGTCTTGTCTGAAATGTGTGTGTGTGTTTCCTTTTCATCTGCTCCTGCTTTCCTAGGAAGCAGTGATATTTCTCAAAGGGACGTTTTACAGATGATTTAAAACTTGTTGTTTACTCTTTAACACAATGTTGCAGAGGAAGAGGATGCTGAGGAGGTGCCAGAATTTCAGGTGCCTGGGAAAATTGGAGCAAAGAAGCAGAGGAAATTAGAAGAGAAACAAGCCAGAAAAGCACAGAGAGAGGTAAGCATTTCCTGCCACGTAGAGCTCAGAGCGGAGCCTGACTAGCAGTACTCAGCAAAGAACTGGTGATGACAGACACCCCAGAAAGGCAAAGGCAAAGTTACGGCTTTGGGGGAGATGAAGAACAGACCCTGAAATCTATGGTGCAGTCAGATTTTGTTTGAGATTTGGCACTTAAACAGAGACCAAGCATACAGGGAGGACACACTGCAGCTTTTCAGTTATTCTCTCTTAAATCTATGTGTAAAAATACTTAAATACTGTTGCCTTTGTTTTACCCAGCATTTTGCTGTTAATTCCAGGGAAGCAACAGGTTTTTGAAACTTACATTCTGATGTACGTTCTTGGTTGGCAACAGGTTATACCTTAATTCCTTTTAGTTATCCTATATATATGGTTTTTTTTGCAAACTGTGTTGTACAGTAACTTGGAACGTGGGGTTGCAAGAAGATAAAACCTAAACAGCCTATGCATAACAGAGGCTGGAGTGCATGCTGGACTTCATACATTTTGCAAAAAGACAGGGTTTATGAAGCTATTAACACTTCTAATGTGTAGAGGGTCCAAATAAAGCCAGTGAAATCCCATCTTGAGAATTTTAGTGTGACTTGAGGTTTAAGTCCAGCTTCTGCTTTACACTGTAGTGGTATGCCCTGTAGATAGGGCGGTCGGTAATAAACTTGATTATTATGTTATGTATAACTTCCATTACGATTCTTTTCTTTATGCTTTAATCATTTTGTCATTACTTTCCATATTTGTTCTATTTAATTACCCTCTTTTGTGGAAAGTCTGAGCAAAGTTGAACGAAGTTAGATAAGCATCAGTTGGTGGAGTGAGGAATCTTTTGTTTCATTTAAAAACATGCTGATTTTTATTTTCCCATGTAGAGAGATAAATTCCTTGGTTAGGTCTTTTTCTCTGAAACATTCAAAGCCACAAATCCTCCATTTGAATGTGCTCTGCTTGTTCTCTTAATATATTTTCAAATTTAAGTATACTTAAGAGACTGAAGAACAACATAAAGCTCTAAACAATACACTAAGTGCCTTTTTCCCCCCCATTTTGCAACAATCTCTTTGCTAGGCTTGGCTTAAAAAACAAATAATAAAATGATTTGAAGAGACCAGTACAACATTTTCTTTAAAAGATTCTGCCCAGGTTAATGATAAATTTGAATATACTTGGGTTTACAGAGTTTGTATTCCCCTCTCCTCGAAGTGCATTCTGACTAAATTTAAAGTGAGCAGAACTGGAATGCTATGATGCAATGATTTAATATCACTGTAGTAATAAGCCCGTGTGCACGTACAAAGCTTAAACCCTGATTGAGATGTGGATAATGCAACTGAGGAGGGTAATTTCTAAATTTACCATAACGTTAAGTGTGCTGAAGATCTGGGGAAAGGGGGTAGTTAAATAATAATGGCTTTTTTTATTCTTCTTTTTGCTGTTTCTTTCTGAACATGCATCTAGGACGATAGTAAGAAACATCCCCCTCTGGGTATCACAATATGAAATTAAAACACGTATATTCAGGAAGAGTAAGGCTTGGCTTGCATAATGGTTTTTTTTAGGCTGAAGAAGCAGAACGAGAAGAACGGAAAAAACTTGAGTCAAAAAGAGAGGAGGAAAGGCGGAAAGAAGAGGAGAGAATACGTCTCGAGGAAGAACGACAGGTGGGATTGGTTGTGTTTATAGATGGAAATTTTGAACCAAGTTTGCCTTTGAGATTGCTTGTGTGTAAGTTCTGTGATCAGCAGAACGCCCTTTGGCTTTTGTTACTGTCACATACATTTTTGACTTGGTTTTTTTTATTGCTCCATTTTGTTTGAATTACGGTAACAGTTATTTTAATTGTAGATCCCAGCTTCGTTCCCCTAGGTGCTTGGCAGGAGTGGAAGCTGCTTCAAACATCAGCACGCACATGTAGCAACAAGCACCCACCCACGGTCAAGTCAGGGCAAACTGAAACCCAGTCTCCTGGTCGTGGATCTGCTACCCCTGTGTGCCATAGTGACAGATTGTTTGATCGGTTCCTGTTGACAAACATAGCTGATAAAGTGGGCTGTTAGTTCATCTGGGAGCTGTTTAAGTGCAGGTATATGAAGGCAGGTGTTGTACCTAGTTGCAGGAGAAATTTGGGAGGTTGCTTGCTTGGTGTCTGACAGGAGAAGTTTGGTTATCACAGAATACTGTAGGTTGGAAGGGACCTCTGGAGACCATCTGGTCTGTCCTCGGGCTCCAGCCCATGTCCAAGCAGAGCAGGTTGCTTGGGAGTTGGTCCAGCCAAGCTTTGAGTGTCTCTTAACGAAGGAGATTTCACAACCTCGTGGCCCGTTACTCTGGTTAGCGCTGCCTGCCTAACAGCTGTCACCAGCCGGGCAGAAAGCGAAAGAGCTCAGCAACCAATTTTTGCAAGTGTCATGTAAAATGATATGACTTTATTCTAATTATACAAACTCATGTGTGCTTCGCAGTGAAAGATTTCTAAACTGGGCTTACGAGTGCGTGTGCTAGCCGGAGTGACCCAGAAAAACAGGTACTGTGCAGTCGAAACTCTTCTGTTGAATACTTTCATCAGTGAGGGAGGCAAACTTATTTCAAAACTGCTTTGTGTATTCTGGACTACTGGCTAAGAACGAGTTTCATGCTCTCTGGTGCTTGAGAAAATTGTGTGGTGCTTCTGGAGGCAAGGACCAAAGTGTGCTGCACAATCCTGTGCTCAGTAATTGCCATCCCAGGGGACCATAGCCCCCAGCTTTCTGTGTGAAATTTTGAGGATATTTAAATGTGCATGGAAACTTACGTCTCTGGCTTGTAGCAGATTTATTTTAATTTGTTCTCAGCCAGGTTGTGCACGTGGAGTGTGTTGCTGATAACATTTTAAAAGAGGAAAAGACAATGTTCCCTCTCCCCTGTTGCGGCCGTGAAGGCAGGATAAAGCAACTTAATGTTTTTTCTTTCATACATTACACACGCAGGTTATATCCATGAGATCTTTTGTAGAATGTCTGTTTACCTCTGGAGTTATTCCCCCTGCAAAAATCCTTTATCTTCTGAACTCTATTTCCTTTTCATCAGTAGAAGGCTCCTGAATTTCAGAAATTGAAACATGAGGAGAATGTCAGAACTACAACATCAGGCTATGTAGCATGGTCCGAGACTTAGACTTGTAAAGCAACTTGAACAAACATCCAGAGGACCAAGAATTCCACAGCTGCCCTTCTGAGAAAGATGTACAAGTTTAGTGGTACCTGGCAGTGGTCGAAGTGTGAACCCTGAGGTTAGATAACTGATACCGGCTAGTCTGAGCCACTCCTGTGTTTAACCAAGCTGTTCCCTACCGGCAGAAATATCAGCACTGGCTTCCCGTGGTTCTGTGCCTACCTCTTTTCCCCTGCCCACGCACTTCAGTAGCACCAGCCTTGTGGTCCCTGTGACCAACCTGCTTTTCTCCCCAGCATTACCAATTTCTCTTCCTCATACTTCCAGTACCGAAAGAGGTGGGACAAGCCCTGGCTACCTCTATAGTCTGTTGCCCATCCTGCTTGCCGTGGAGCTTGCATAACGGGTAATTCAGGTGGCAGTTTCCCTCCAGTGGTGTGTTCTTTTAAATGTTTTGTCTCCACCCTGTTCCCTCATATTTTTTTTCCCTAAGATTCTGGGAATTCAATATCCTTGAAACCTTGAAGCATTGGTTGAAACAAACCAAATGATTCCAGTGCTCTGGGGGAAATTAGGAGGGCACGCTGGCATTGTGTAAATGTCACTTTAGAGGAGGCTAATGAACAGAATTTCAGTTCCTTCTGGAGCGGTAGCCAGCACGGCAGGTGAATTGCTAAGCAAACTGCAGTTCAGCTTGGCCAACCTGCGCAAAAGAAGCTGTACCCAGGACGAAGATGTTCTCCTGTTGGTTGCGTACAGGTTTGACCTGGGGTTTAGCAGTGCAGCTGGCTAGGCAGGACCAGTCAGGCGTGGTTGAGAAGTTGAGTAGAAAATAAGGGTGAAATTCTAACAAGAGGGCTTTTCACACAGAAAGTGCTTATTAACATATTTAACTTTTTTTTTAAATCCACTTCAGTTTAGTGCTGAGTAATTTCTTTTGGATGAATGAGTAAAATCTGATTTTTAATTTTCAGTGTTGCTAGTAAAGATTGCACTACAACACTTCCACCTCCATTTCGCAAGGCTTGGTGTAAAAGAGGAATATAAACTAAGGCTTTGGGGTTTTTATTTTTTTAATTTTGTGCTCAACAGTCCAAAAGAGTACTTATTAGAATTTTGAAAATTGCTCAGATGCCAGAGTCTAGCTTGCTATTAACTTTAGGCAATAACTTCCTTGGCTACTTAAATTATGTAATTTTAACTATTTTTTGTTTGGTTTGTTTTTCTCAGTATTTTTCTATCAGAGCAGCCAGCCAGTGCACCGGACTACATCACAAACATTATTCTGCTACTCAGGGGAACGTGTTTCCAATATTTTACGGTTTTGCTGGGGTTTAAGACAGGTTGATAACCCATGAACCGCTGAACATTTTGAGCATGGATCAGAGTAAACATGTCTGACAATATTTAATGTCCATCCTCAACCCTTTTCTGGTAATTTTAGGTCTGTCTTCATCCGAGTCTTTCACAGGAAACAGAACGATTCAAGACTTGTATGTGGTAATAACAAGGCTTCAATGTGTTAGTCCTGACTGGGTGATAGGAGGGGAAACAAACTGGGTTAATAGAGACTTGATTACTGTGCCTGTAAGCATAGCCTGTCTTCATGAGAGTAATGCCCTGTTTTTCCAGTCTTGTTACAGATAAATTGTATGATGTAAAAGATACTGTCTCTCTCTTCTAAGCCTCTATAAGCAATAGAGATTGTTGGATTTGTTGTGTGTTTTATAGAATACATAGCATAAAATTTCATTTATACCTTCCTCCAGAGAAAAAGGAATCATCATTTCCACAAGAAACGCTTTGTCCCACGTAAGGACTCGTGGACTACGCATGTGATACTATTCCCCCATACAAGGGAATGGAAAGGCAAAATTAGAAAAGGTAGCTCAAGTAGTGATTGATAGCCATGAGATAAAAGCAGAGGGTAGCTGGTTGTATGATTTCTGGAGGCAGTTTCATTACTGACACTTCTGTAGCTTATATAATCCCATAATGCACAAGACATTTAGACTGTTACCACTTAAGTTTGTCTGAGAAACGTTATGGTTGTCAGCTTCATTTTTTCCCCTTTTCCAGCACATCAGAGCATTTCTGCAGGTGTAGCAAGAGTGGCAAGTCTAATGGTTTTTATGTCTGCCCTGTGCTGTAGAGGAAAGGTGTTACGACCATGGCCAAAGCTTTAGCGCTTCCCTGAAAAGTAGTGACATAACCGCCTGAATTGTTTGTTTCAGTTGCTGCACGCGCAAAGATTTTTTTTCTTTTTGTTTGTTTGTAACCAATAAATTGGGGTGGCTGTGCTTTATTTAATTTCAAATAGATTTAATTAGTGTATTCACAAGGGAGTGTAAGTGAGGAGCAGCTAGTCTCCAAACACATGCAACCAGGTTTGTTAGCTAAATTTCAATTGAACCTTTTTTCCAATCTCTCTCCCAAGAAGTGCTACAAAACTTCTGTGAACACTGAGATTTGCTTTGTGTAAGGGAGAGTTTCCTTTTGGCGTTTTCAGCCTTAAACTAATAGCAGAGTCCTAGTCCATGACACTGGGTGATTCCTGCACCATTAAATACCAGCTAAAACTGTGTCAGATGATGAGGGAAGCCAAATAGGTTCAGAAATAGGTTCAGGAGGATAGAAAATCATGTTGCAGCATGCAGATCTGCTAGAAATTCCCCAGTGCTGATCACTGATAAAGTCACTGGGTCTGTTAACCCTTTCACATGCACACACACCTCAAGTAGCTCGTAAGGTAAGAGTCTAGTGGAAGTAATGAAATCTTGAGACAGAATTATAAATAAAACGAAGTCACCCACTTTGTTTTATAGGCCAACTGATCTTTCTCTCCAGATATTTTTGGGCAACTCTACACTGCGCTGTCCTACAAGTGGGAACTGTGCCTTCAAGGGAGTTATGGGAGCTAAAATCTTGCATATTCTTGAGAAAAAGAACCCCCGGTCCTATTTAAATATATTTGTATGCACATATAAATAAAATGTGGTTGCCCCTTGGCTCCAGTGTTGCGAACCAGATAATATATTTTTAAATTCAAGTTTCCTTTCCAGTGTTCTGATGACCTGATTGGCTATACATGTGAGGAAGCTCCTTTATAATTGGCATTTACTTCAGCTCTGCTTTACCCTGGGGATTTCCCTTTCACTCTTGGAGTTTTTTAGTGGTGAGATGGTTTACCAACTGCCACCTTATCAATGACAGCGAGCTTCCTCTGATGTTGCAAAACAGTGTCTTCATACAAAGCCTTGCAGATTGCTCGCACAAGAGCTTTTTTTTTCATCCTGTGCGCAGGGATTTTTGTAGATTTTACTCTCTCAGCCAATGCTCTTCTGTATTAACATACAGCATCAAAGAGGGCATGTTGCCTGCAAATCTGTCGCAGAATGGAATCTTTACAAAACTTAGCTTGATACAGGGGAGAAACTACCAGTTTTCCAGCAAGCAAGATTTTCACTGTTGTGAAATAAAGGGCTGGGGGCTGCTGTTTGTTCACTGTTACATTAAAACGAGATCTGTATTGCTCAAGTATAGCTGTGCCCAAAGTTTCCAAACTTTGCCATTTCATTTAGTTTTATATTTAAGTGCCTAAATAAAAATGGTCTGGATCTTCAGAGTTATAGAAGTGTAGGTTTGCCTGGTGATCCCAAGGGTGCTGGGGAAGATTTTGAAAACTAAGACCCTGAAGTTTTGGCTCTGATATTTGATCATATAAGAATACACAACAACTATTAAAACACAGATTGTTGAGTTGTTTTGTTATGTGTAGCACTGTGTGAACATCACGATTCGTCCTGCTCTCAGCAGAGGCTTTTGTTATCTGTTTGGCGTTTACAGCCATGGTTCATACACAAACGGTGCGTTTCTGGAGGCTGATGCAGACAGACGTGGTTGCAGTTTAAGCAGCAGTTTTCAAGGTTGTACACTTTCCTGAAAACTAATGTCTCCTAAGGAAGTACAAGTTGAAAAGCTTGCAGAAAACTCATTGTACTCTGATTCTGAGGGAATGAGGGCTAGTTAGAACACTTACTCTGTCTTTCTAATGGTATTTTTTTATTTTGTGGCTGAACAGTGTTGGGGAAGGAATCCTAGAGATCCATCTGTCCTCTGTCAAATTATTTACTTGTAAAGTCCCTTTTCATGTCCTGCAGAACCTGCACTAACAACATGAAAACTGGATGTTACACAAGGAGGGGGTTTCTTTGGTCCTTGAGCCTCAAAGCATTTGTCATAGGAGCCAGTCCGCTTTTCTCATTCTGCGTGTTAAGCACGCGGCTGCAAAGAAAGAATGACTGGTAGCAGGCGGTGGTTGAAGAGTCCGGTGTTTGCTCTGCCTTCCTCACAAGCAATGAGATCTCTTCCACTTAGCAGTCGAATAAGCTGCCTGTAAATGATTTGTTTGTCAGCAGGTTGGTCCTTTATCTGATTTGGAGGAGAGTTGGCACAGCGAACAACTAGCAGTTTCCCCTCAGGGAAAGCTGCTTAGGCAAAGCTCTCAGAAAAGCTACTTAGTCTGAGGGTGATATCTGTTTATCTCAGGGCCACCTTAATGAAAGCTAGAAATGGCAATGCAGTATCTTCTTGCTGGACAGTACTGGCAGGGTCCTCACTCTGTTAAATGGAGTAAAGCATGAGAAACCTTCAAAGACTGTAATGTCAACCAGTAACAGTGCAGTAGCACTCAAGTAGCATCCCAGGACTCCAGAAGGATTTGTGATCCCAAGTGTCAAGCTCTGCTTCCCGTCTAAAAGAGTTTTGAAGACGCTGTGGGTTTCACCTGGTAAAAGATGGAGCTTTTGGGCAGTTGGCACAATTAATGTCTTTGTCATGGAAATAATCATCACGATCAAGGTAAGAAGCAAACTGAAGGTAATGACCTGAAAGGAGCCTCACAGCAAATCCTCAGTGGGCAGGTGGGACAGAGGGAGCCTGGAGAGCAGTAGAAGGACTGGGTGCAGTGGGAAGACAGTGCTGACCAGATCCAGAGTAGGAAGGGGTAAAGGTGTTGGAAGGTCTCCCAGAACACTGGAGATCCACAGACTGTACAGAGCTCTGGAAGCTCTTGGGTCTCTGCTACGCAAGGTGGCACCTGAGACTTACCGCAAGCATACAGAAGTAGAGTCGATCCAGCAGTGATAATGTGGACATTTTGTCAGAAAAAGGAGAGGAGGAAGAAAGGTTCGAGTGAGTACTTTTTCTTTTATTTCTTTCAGTAAAGACACAATCAGAGTGGGAGAGCTTGTTCTTCACATGCACTATAGTAAAACTGATCAAAAAGAAACCTTTACCCTGTAGCAAGCTCTCAGCTTGGGTAACATTTAGATGGGTGTGGAGAGAAGTAAACCTGCTTAAAAAAATTAAAAAGGCAGCAGCTGAAGGTGAGCATCTGCAGTTACCAAATTTCCATCATGCTGGGATTTCCCCACCACCCCACCCATTGTGGAAGGGAGGTGGCCCAGCTATTATCTCTCCTCTGAGCCACATGCTTCACCACTTAACTCCACAGCAGTTAATGAGACCAGAATGGGGAGGGGCAAAGAAACCTGACTAGCAAAGATGTGGTATTTTTAAACTTTAATATTTGAGCCGAATGCCCCCCGTTTGACTTGCATGAAGCAAGTACTGGTCTCTGTTTCATTAGTAGGCTCTGGGGTGCTGAGAGTGTTTCTGCATGTGGGTTATACATACAGACAGGCTGGGTTTTGTGGGAGTGCAACCTGCCTAAATTTGACCCTGCACCTACCATGCAACTGCTGCATGACTTGGGAATTTGAAAGAAGAGTGCTAGCAAAAAAAAAAAAAAAAAGCCAACAGCTGAGAATAAATATTAACAGACAGCCTGACTTCTCTCGGGTTCCTCCTCCTCAGCTTCCACTGCTGTTGCTGGTTGCTTCTCCCAGTGCAGTTATGCAAAGTCATCTTTCCTCTTGGCTTTGAACCAGTTTACGGTTTGGCTAAAGCCTTCTTTTTCTACAGATTGAATCATAGGTGAATTTAGGTAGTAAAGCATGGGGAACTATGCAGGAAGTGGCTGGGATTTTTAGTTATTAAATTAAAAAGCTTCTGGAAATACTTAGTCTGATGGAGCGGGGGGCTACAACCACTAGAAACACAGGGCTCTGAAGGCTGACACGTAGCATCAAAATTTAGGATCTGGAAAACAATCTCATGTTGGCTCTTAGAAGACTGCAAAAGACGGACTGGTAGCAGAGTGCTTTGCTAGTCTCACAGCAGAAATGCTTTCCTGCATATGTTGGAAGTGGAAGTACAGATACTAATGTGCTGGTATGCTTTAATCAAACTGAAGGTGCTGTTCTTCAAGTCTGTATGGAAGACAGGAATGAGTCTTGTTCATTTGTTGTTAGACCTTCCAGAAACAGGAAAATACTTCTTAGTTACTGTTTCTCTCAGTTGTAAATGGGACACTGTCTTCAGATTTATTTTTTAAGAACAATCTAGAAATTATCTGCCAAAGCAATTTTTAGTTTTTGTGATTTCCCCCCCCTCCCTTCCAAATCCTGTTGAATCAAAACTTCTGTAATAGACCAGAGGAATAACATTATTCTTGTATTTCCAGGATCAAGATTAAATTTAATGCACTTATAATAAAAGAACAATTGCTGTCACTTCCAAATGAAATATGGTTATGTTCTTCTTGGTACCTCTGGCACTTATAAGGAGAAAATCTACTGTTGGGCTTTTGCTGATAATTGTGTCAGTGTTGAATGACCCAGAAAATGGTCTTGTTTTGTCTCAAGATCTTCCTTAGATCTGTAGTTTTTCATGAGATAGCAGTTAAAAAAAATGCGTTTGACATTGCACATACAGGAAGATCCTTTCAGTCCTGTTTTTCTCATGCTCCTATGTTGGTAGCATTCCTTCTTGGGACTTTCTGGGAGTTTGATTAAATACGACTGGGACTAAATACACTTTCCCTTCAGTTTTTATTGAATGGCAACTCTTGTATCTTGCTGGTTTTGGCCTTACATAGCATCTTATTTTAATATGGGCATTTTTCAATATACTTAATTACCTGTTCCTGACTCTTCCTGTTTTAATGGAACAAGTGTTTGCTTTCCAACCACTTAAGGAAGCAGTTACCGTATTAATGTCAAAGATGTAGCATGGCAAGCATTTAGAAATCAATGTAATTGTTCTTTAAGAGATCAATTCCTGTACTAATTGTGAAGGAATGCCCAGAGATTGTCACTGAGTTTTGCAGAAGACATCTTTCTAAGTTTTAATCAAGCCTTTGCAGTGTGATAGCAACCAGAGACCAGTCAAATTGGAATCTCATTGTACCGAGTGCTGTGTAAACATAAATTTATCTGTAGAAGAAACCGTTGTGTAAGGAAACATCTTTCTTCTGTGTGGAATTACATGTGTAAAGTGTTTTGGAGAAGAGTAGAACAAATTCTACAAGAAATCAGGGAAAGCTGCAAGTTGATGAGCTCCTAGTAAAAACCTCTTTTTATTGGAAACATTTTTAAAGTAATCTATCAGATTCCAAATCTTGTAGTCATAGTTTTGCTCTCTGAATGTGTGACTGTTCTCCGTTTCGCTGATGTCGGGCTGGGAGTTTTCTGGGTCAGCTTTTTTTTTTTTTTTTTTAAGACTTTAATTCAGTTTCTTTCAGGCTAGGTAACTGAAAGTAATTTTATTGCAAATAACTGAAAGCAGAACCTGTAGGTGTTGGTTAACAATTAAACATGTAAAAACCCAATTTTTTTTCATACAATCATCCTTTGTCTCCTATGCCTAAAATACTTTATACAGTTCTTTACATTCCATGTAGACGTAGTTTGCTTGTCTGTTGAAGGATTTTACTTGCAACTCCATTACAGGCCAGCTTCTTACACACCAGTGTCATTCCAGTATTCTTTGTGATCCCAATGCACGCTAGTGCATGTCAGAGCAGAATTGGGGCCTGTTACTGAAAATGTGGATGTTGCATCAAAGTACAGTTAGGGGCAGGGATTTCCTGTCACGGGATCTGCAGAAGGAACATCTTCATGCAAATTAAGAAGGCAGGTTGCTATATAGGAGTGATTTCTCTCTCCTGTGCCAGATCTCTTAAGAGGCAGCCTGGGTGTATTTTGTGCAAGCTTACACTACCATGTGAGATGTTTTTTACCTTAAGGGTGGCTTGTGAAATTAATGATGCCATCGAGGGAGAACTTAAATGCATTTTAGAAACTTTTTATCTGCTGTCTGTCCTAGTAAAAACAGACTGTAGATAAAGAACATGCTACTTTCCTTAAAACTAAACCTGATTTCAGGATGAGCAAATTGACTTTGTCATCTTTTTTGTCCAGGAAGAGGAAAAAAGGAAGGCAAAGGAAGAAGAAGAGAAGAGAGAGTATGAAGAATACCTGAAGCTGAAGGAGAATTTTGTCGTTGAAAAGGAAGGGGTTGAAGAATCAATGACAGAGGAAGAGGTATGTAAGGCTGCTACTGTAGTTTCCTTTATCTTAGGCTCAGGTTGCCCTTACTGCATTCTGTCTGGTGTAGAATGAACTTAAAAGTAGGAATCAGCCAAACATTTTTGCTTGCAAAAACTAAATTGTGTTTATGGCGCACATTAACCTGGAGAATTTCCTGGGGGATGCTACAGTCCCTCATTGCAGACTCCTACAAATTAGTTTAGAGTACTAAGGCATGTTACTGGAAAAGAGTTCTCTCCTCCCTTAATGTAAATACTGAGATGAAACTCATCCTGGAAGTCAGACACTCTCTAACTGTCGTCAGCTTTGCTCTACCCATATACAGTAGGCCAGATGAAAGCAGGGCTAAATATGGAGTTCGGTAGTGCCCTCATATTTTGGGAGGAATTGATTGGTTTTGGTTTTATTTTCTAGACCAACAGAGCTGCTCTGAAATCAAACAACAGCTCTTGGCTTAAAAGGCTTCTGTTAAGAGAATTCACAGGACACAACCTAGGTGCCTGGGGGTTGTACAGTCAGTGTTGCAAGTGATTGCCAGGGTTGGTAGTATTTCCAACTCTGCGTAAGGCTCTAGCATGCTCCTCCTGTGCTGGGGATGGTTGCTGAAATGTGGTACTTGACACAGTACCACAGCAAACTTGAAAAAGTTCCACTCTTGTGGGAGGAAGTGCCCTTGATTCTGTCTGCTGAAAACCTGTTAGACTCATTTTAAGTGCTATCAAATGCTGAACTTGCTCTTGGGTTGCAGCTGTCAAACTTGAGCTGTACCATGCATTTTGTAAGCATTGTTTTTAGGGCCGTGCGTGCATTTTCTCCTCTGCTAAAGCGACCCCGTTGAATTCAATGGATTTGCCCTTAGCGTGACTGAGAATCGTTTGGGGACGTGGAATTTATAATGAGCCAATATCCCTTGACATTAATGACAAGTTCTCACTGTGAACCCTTTCCCACTGAGATAAATTCCTCCATCATGCCGGGATGAACATTAAGAGAGGTTGTATTTCGTGATGGGGAATTTCCTAGGACGCAGGGAACAGAGAAATGCATACTTCCTATTGAAAATGCCTTTTCAAAGTTGAAAATGCCTTTCCTGTTAGAAGACCAGATTATATCAAAATATGAAGACTTCAGACACCCTTTAAAGCTAGAATGTGTTTATTGTCTGTGTTCCTACAGCTGCCTGTCAAGGAGAAACTAATCTTTCTACATGTGGGTACAGAGAAGGGTGTTCCTCGCTCAAACGAGCTTGGCAGGCAGTTGGTGATCCCTGGATCTCAACATACAGTACCTTTGGCAGGAGTGGGGAGGTAGACCTTTCATAGTGGGTGATTTGAAAGTCATCTTTGGAAACAGTCACAGGTACATAGTTATTTGGAGACACCAGCTTTGCAGAAATGCTGAGCTGCGCGTCTGCCTTGTGGTGGATAATGTACCGACACGTTTCGGCATCCTGTTCCAATAGCTGATGCAGCCGTGTGCGTTTGAGGCTAGCGTGCTGAAACTCATGCTTCAGGTTAAGGACCCGAGTTAAGCAGTTAATTAAGGCTGATTGATTTCCAGGGTTGCAGAGTAACTTGATCTCCTGTTAACGTAAATGCACATTGTTTGAGTTGCCTTTGAAAATTGAGCAGCTGGATTTCAGGTGCATAGCTTTGAAAACGGCTTGAGCTTCCGCACATGTTGCCCATCTGTGTGCTACATTGACCAGCTGTGTGAGCCGCCTCCCGAACCACTGCACAGAATGTCCTTGGTGTACATGTAGCTTCACATGTGAGGCACAAACTCCCCCAGATGTGGTTATGTGAAGAAAGATTTCCTTTCACAAAACACTTAAACACAAATTGTACTCGAGCCATATTCTGTCTTAGAAAATACAAATTCCTAAATAAAATTAAATCTGGATTCCACCCCCCCACCCCCAAGATCAGAATCTCCCTCAATGTATGTTTAAAAATTTGGAAGTATGCAAGCTAAACGCTTCTATAATATTTGTACTCGGCAAGTTTGTGATGCATTTAATGTTCATGAGTTTAAAATAACAATTGTTTTCCTTGCTTTTTCCAGTCTCGCAGCTTTCTAATGGAATTTCTCGAATACGTTAAGGTAAGCCACCATGGTCTTTCTCCACCTCTCATACTTGTTGGATCGTGTAAAATCTCTTTGTCAAAGAGCTGAGTTGCAGAAAGAAGGGAAATCTTTACTTCCTCTTTGATTTACTTAAATATTCAACAAATAACAAGTGATACCTTTGATAAAGTCTGCATTATTTATTTAACTGTGCACGAGCATGCCCATCGTTGTTAAAATGTTTTGTCACTGTAGCTGTGTCGTGGCTTTTTGGGGCAGGATTGTAGCTCTTCCCCTCTTTGGTAAGGATGGGCATGTTAAACTCTGTGCCTGGTGGATCACCCTCAGAGTTTATGGACGGCAGTGGTTCCTGTTCACTGGGATTTGGGACATTCAGGCTTTTTGTTCGTTGAGCATCGGGCTGCCGATCAGAAAAGAGTCTCTGCGTCTCAGCATGAACGAGCAGGGCCATACCAGCGTGTGGCCTGCCGTGCAGGATGTGAGTGTGTCTGAAACACTGGGTTGTAAAGGTCGATCCAACTTTTCATGCTATTTCTTTTCTTGGTTTCATTTGTGCAATTTGCAATGTTTTCTTAATGTTTGGAAGGGATGCATGAGGAGATCGCTTGTTTTTCACAGGGTGCGTTAGTGCCCCTGTCATGATATCGTATGTTTAGTTACTTAAAACCTCTGGTGTGTTCAAGAGGATTTCCACTTTAATCTGTAAAGACAAATGCTTCTTTCTCCACTATTGGTGTATCAAAGGTCAAATATATTTTTCTACTATTACTCCTAAAGTTCTGCAGATCTTTTGTCCCAATTAATCCCTTGACTGGAAACCACTCTCTTACCTGACAACGTATGGCATGTGTGTGAAAGGCTCTATTAGTAAGCAAACCGCTTGCACACTTAGCGACCTCCTAATCATTTTGTTAACCCAGAACCTCACGCTCTGGGCCAGTTTTCCACGTCTGTTACCCTAGGAAAAACCTGGAGTTACAGATTTCTCTCCTGGGCAACCCTCCGCGTGGAGTCAATTTGAGTGCTTGCCATGCAAGTCTGCACAGCGGCTGGGTGTTTGGAGAGTCGCTGCAAAGCTACGGCACAAGCATCTTGCAGGTGCTGCCTCCTGCATCCGTGGGGCTTGTGGTGGTGTATCCCGTCACCGTCGGGCTGCAGTGAGAGAGGCTGCTAGGTTTGGAGCCGACAAGTGCTTTCTGAGCAGCGTGATCTCTGGAGGGAATTTGGAAATGTGTAAGCTAGTAGCGCTTGGATTTAGGACTTACCTTCATGGCTGCAGCCCAAATGAAAATAGGCCCCGTTCACTAACCAAATCCCCAGCACAAGCCGGTCAGCTCGGATCGAAAGCACCGCCAAAAGCGAATGAGACAGCTGAGGATAGATTGGAAAAGCCATGGGTGACTGGTTTAAAGAGCCCAAGTAGAACCATAGGGCGATGATGAGCCCTCAGATGGCACATTTCATTTTGCAGCCACACAGCGGTTTCAATATTCTGTTTTCCGCAGAAGCCGGCGAGATTTCTTTGGCAGGGAGGGGAGCTTTGAAATGGTCACGTCTGTAAGACCATCCTCGGTTTTAATTACTGTCTGTGGAAATGGACTATGTGGTACGGTGATCCCAGCTCACCCCTTCCCTTCTAAGGCTTTCAAGATACAGCCGAGCTGTGGATTAAGGAAAATGTGCTGTTCCTTCTTGATAAACAAGCTGCCCTAAGGTAACAGGAGGTAGAACAATAGGATATTTCAACATCATTTGGGAACTTCCACTAAAATTGGGAGGGTTTCCAAGGGATAATGCTGTAGGGTCTGATTCTGCACGTTGCCCTGGTAGTTGTGATGGATGGAACAGATTAGTCACAAACTCTCAGTTCAGTCTTCGAGCACATATGTACAGTTTTATATTAGTCACTTCTACATGACGTCAGAGGAATTAAGCATGGGCTGAAAAACCTAATTCAGAAGCACTTCGACACCTGATTTCCTACGTGAGATGAGTTGCAGAACTGGGGCATTGCTTTCTTTTACAAGTTTTAGGTTTGATTTTTTTAATCTGGAAAGTATGCTTAATACATAGATTATATATAGCCCTCATTTTCTGTTCTAGTCACAGAAACTGTTGACTTGTAGCAAGAAGCTGAGCTGCTAGTAGCTGTCTGAAAAACTTATAAATTAAAAGAGCAATTGGCATTTGAAAAAAAAGATTGATTTTGCTCTTCTGTTGAATTACTTATTTTACTGGTATAACTGGCTGGAGGTAGCTCACCCCATGCTTCATTCCTAAGGGTGTTTGAAAGAAAACGCAGCCTCATTTCTCCAGCTCTGCCTTGTGGGATTGTTTTAAATGGGATTTTTCTCCAAGGCACCAAAAGGATTGATGCCCCCTGGTTCTGCTTTTCTGAGTACCTCCCGTCCCTGTGGCTTTCGCAGTAGCCCCTCAACCTCAGTCTGAGTGCTGCAGTATCACCCCCTCCCACCTCAGGCTGCGGCATCGTCTCTGCTGCAAGAGCCATCCGGTGTGTTTGCTTCTCACAGCGACCGGTCCTCAAGTTAGACGTGACTGCTCTGCTCTCAGAGGAGCAGAGTAACCAGTTCCTACTGGGAGCCTTATGGTTTAACCCAGCAGTGCGGTCACTGTACGACGCACCTCACAAACCAGCTCTGTGGGCTCTCCAAGCACTTCAGACGAATGACTGATGAAGTGGGCAGCGCTTAAAGAGTGGCCGAGCTGTCCCCTTGCCGCGGAGCACCAGCTCTGTTAGCCCAGGAAATACCAGCCGCACTTTGTCCCTCGAACTGTTCTCGCCCGGCTTGGCAGTGCACCAGTGGGTGCATCCAAATTGTAGCCAGAGAACTAAACCAGCAAACTCCGTTTTCACGGTTTTCGACAGTCATAGCGAAGGACTTAGGGGCTTTACCCCTTTATGTTTCTTCTTTAAGAAAAATGGCACAAAATAAGGGGGAAAAAAGGTTCCTACTCATCTTAATCCTGAGACCTCTTGCTCCATTTCATCCCCTGCCGAGGACAGCAGCAGAATCATACCTAAAACTAAATTAATTTAGTAAAACGTGGGTGTGTAGATGTTGTTCTGGGAAAGTTCAGCCTGTCTCTAAAACTTGAAGCTTGTGGTGAGTGTTTTGTTTGCTTGGGACCTCACAATGTCATTATATTTCAGAATGTATGTGGGGACTACATCCTAATTCCACCCCGCTCTGTGGGCTCAATCACAGCAGGATCTGTCTTGGAAAGCTTCCACTAGACTTGGTCATAGAGGGTGAATGTCTTTAAGCGAAGGTTTAAATCCTGTTTTTCTTGCTGATGTGGCTTTGCACCCCCTCTGTCCTTTTAAAAGAAGATGTGACGAATCTTGGCAGTTCCCAGCTCTGAGAACTGAATTCCATGGACTGGTTCCAGTTCCATGCGTTCAGTCCATGGTATTTAGTTCTCTAGCTTGGCTGCATCGAACTTCACAACTACCAAGTCTGCGTGTGGTGCTTTTTGTCTGATTTTATTAATGAAAAAGGTTAATCTGTTTCAGCTTCTCTGTTTCTTCAATGTCCTTCCAGTGTGCTTTCAAGATGAGAAACAAATGCACATAGGGCTTCCAGTATCGCAGCTGATAATGTAAACGCAGCTCTCGTGGCCGTATACATGTGACTCTTAGGAGCGTGGGCCAGAGTGTTAACGGTTTTCAAAAGATTTATATTTTCCAAATTCTTTATAACCAGTGATGCCTTTCACTGCATCTAAACAGATGAGTTTCTAAAACTTCTGCAGATAAGAAAACAGGAACCAAGTAGCTCCAGACGAGCACACCGGGTGTTTTCTCTGTAATTCTCTGGAGCGAGAGAGAAGTGTAAAACCAGATGTGGGCAGCAGTGACCGCGTCCTCACCGAGAAGGGCTGCAGTAAGAATCTCTGTCAAAAGCAGAATGAAAATTTGCAGTTCCTGCTTCTACCTTTTGCTCTCAGCTCATCACGCTGCCTGCGCAGGAGTGTGCTAGCAGTACAGCAGCGACAGTTTTAATAAGGTGTTCGCTTGCTTAGGAAGATTTTTATGGCGTTAATACACATGGCATTAGTAAAACAGACTAAAGCACTTAATGCTGCCAGTCTTGTCTGGATTTTTATGTATGCGCTGATACATACATAGTGATGATTTTAAAATGTACTGTGAAACATCTCTCAAACAAAAAAGGATCTTGGTAAAAGCATACTGGAGATTAAAGGTAGCAGTTGAGAAACTCAGGTGGCAGGGAGAACGGAGCCATGGCTGAATACTTATTGTGCTCATCCTGTCTTCTAACATAAGGAAATATTCAGGACGAAAGCTGGCAAACATATTCCCAAGCTGCGCCAGGGGAGGTTTAGATTGGATGTAAGGAAGAAGTTCTTCACCAAAAGGGTTATCACACACTGGAACAGGCTGCCCAGGGAGGTGGTGGAGTCACCATCCCTGGATGTGTTTAAGAGACGGGTGGATGAGGTGCGGAGAGATATGGTTTAGTGGTGGACAGATACGGTTGGACTGGATGATCTCTAAGGTCTTTTCCAACCTAGTGATTCTATGATTCTATGATTCTATATTTGAGTCTTCAGTTACGTGGGTCAGAGCTTCCAGACCTTCCACAGAGCAGAGTGGTTAAGTAACTTAAGTTAGTGTTTTCCGCCGGAGAAAGTGCTTACTGGGAAAAGTTAGAACAGCAGGTTCTACTTTGTGTATTAAATGCATTTTTTTCTTTGAAAGAAAAAGAAATCTGCCCACCCTCTAATTCATCAGCTACATTTAACTCTTGTTTGTTTCCGTAGAAAACAAAGGTAATCCAGCTGGAGGACTTGGCTTCGCATTTGGGTTTAAGAACACAGGTAAGTACTGCCTTTTGGGGTGCAAGTACAAGCAATGAGTTTAAAAGGACAGGAGACAAAAAACGTATTTTATGTTTTGACTCTGGAGAACAGTTGTGACTTGCTTTATTTTAATTTGAGCACATTTGACGTGTCCTAAGTGACCAGTGTTTTCTGTTGTTCTGTTCCACACCTGATCTTGGGGTTCGCCTTCGCTTCACTGCAGCTTACGCGGCTCTAAGTCCAGGCTGCTGTGCCCCTGCCTCTGTCTTAAACCAGAACTTCATTGCAGCATGCAGTGAGCCAGTTAAGGGGATTTTATGTGGTTAAAATCTAAACTATAGCTTTTTTCTGCAGTCCCGTAAAGGCAAGAAAGGGAGGGAGGCAGAAGTGTGTAAAACAGGGCTTAGATACTAGTGTAAGGTGTAGTGGGACAGCGTGTAACCATCCCCCTTCCATAAAAGTGACAGCTACCTTAGCAATTAAATTCACTTTGGGAGATAGGGAAGTTATTTGAACACCCTAAAATGCAGAAGCTGACTTCACCTTTCTAAGACCAAAGGGCTTACTGCATCTGTCTGTGGGGAAATGCTGGTGTGTATCCTTCACTGAAGCCTTTAACGCTGAGGAATTAAATGTTAGCCTCCATCTGGAGTTTGTCTGAACATGTGAAATGGTTTTTGCCTTCCTCTTGATCAGTTTGCTGTTCCCTTTTTCCCCCTCTGAACAGGATGCAATTAACAGAATCCAGGACCTGATGGCCGATGGCACTCTAACAGGTAACAGCCAAAACACAAAGGGAACTTGATTTTAGCTGGTGAATAGGTGGTGCAGATGTCTTAACCATGGCAGAGAGGGACTTCCAGTGTAATTTCCATCTTAGTGTAGAAGCTCCTAGCAGGGCTTGATAAACAAATATTATCCCTGCTTCAGCCGCTGTCGAACTACTGTTTAAAGCACTGTAAGGGTGGGATTGCTCCTATGGTGCAGAGGCTGGGGAGGGGAGTATGTCCCCAGCAGTTGTGGAACCAGCACAATGCTGCTGCACCTTGACTGAGCCCTGCTGAAGACTTTTGGGAGCTGCTGAGCAGCCAGCTCCAAATGATGTCTTCTGAAATCTGAAGTTGAAAGAATCACTTGGATGTCTGGGGGTAGTTTGCAAGCCAGGACAGGGGTATGGCATGCTGTGGGAGAAGCAAACACCCCAGAGCGCTCCAGGATGCTGTAGGAAGTAAAGTGCTTGTTCCTAGCCATGTAACCACGCAATCCAAGCTGGAACGTGAGCAGAGATGGAGCATGTGAGCAGCTCCCTGTCTGAACAAGTCTATTTTATTGCTGGGCAGTCTTTTTCTTTCTGGGGAGGAAGTTGGGGAAGGTGCCAATGCAAACATTTACTGACCTGACACTGGTAATGGCTGGGAAAGAGCTATCTTGGTAGGTACATGTTTCAAATGACCTAAAACTGGTCTGAATCAAAGCATGAGGATGTGTACCGTCCCAGCTGTGTCCGTGGCCTAAAAGGCATGCCAGTGAGGCACTCTGCCTGGCATCTGATCCTGTGATGTGTTAAGAACAGAGGAGTCTGTTCTCGCTCTTGGAGTAACTGAAATATAGAAATTGAGCTTCATTCCCTTTTAGAGAGTAAGTGGAAGGGCCAAGCTGAGCCCCACATGGTCTCTGAGTCACCTTCCTGCTGCTGTGCCTTTCTCTACCAGCTGCCTGGGCCCAGAACATTGGCACCAAATCTGTGTCTACCTGAAGCAGCTGCTGCCGTACTCCCAGCTAGCTGCATACGATGAAAAGAATGGGTTACTTTGAACAAAATTAGTCTCACCGAGGCACTCGGGTGTTGTCGTAGCCCTGCTCAAAGACCCAGCAGTAGCGTGGAGATAAAAGCCTGCCTGCCCTAGATATGAAATGCAGCCTCAGCACTTTAACCGTCCCTTCCAAAAGCAGTGACTGATGTCTGTCGGGAAGTGAGAGGAGCCAAAGTGCTGACTTCAGGGTCCTTTCTTTCCCCTCATAGGTGTGATTGATGACAGAGGAAAGTTCATCTACATCACTCCGGAGGAGATGGCAGCCGTGGCTCGGTATATCAAACAGAGAGGACGCGTCTCCATCGCAGAGCTGGCCCGAGCGAGCAATTCCCTCATCAACCTCCAGCCCGACAGCCGAGCCGCTGCTCCGACTGTGGCGTGAAATCGCGGCGCGAGGAGAATGCAGCAGGGGTTTAACCTTTTCATAAATAAGCCAGATAATTGAAACCAAACGAGAACTCCTCTGGTCCATATGCTTGAACACGGGATGTTCTTTTTAAGCACCAGCTGCAAGACTTGATGGAAAGTTTTGCTTTTCATTCTGTTAGGGCTGATACAAAATAGGACAGTCTTTTGTACAACAGAGGCTAGCCAAGAACTTGGGGTTAAAACACTCTGATGCACCTGTACCCCAGGAATATCAGTAATTTTTATATGGTTACTTATCTTGGCAGTCTGTCTTAGGTGACTATTCCCAAACTTTTTATTGTTTCTGGATTGTGATGTCTGTATCAAATATAGTTGGGTTTGATTGTATTTGGGATTCTCTGCACTTGTGGCGCCGTGTAACTTCACGGCAATGACATATGCAGCCCAGAATAATAGGTGTGGAGGGCTGAGGATTGCAGGTTTTGTCTTCTGTGGCCACGCTAGAAGGATAGAGTAAAAACAAAATACTGCCCGTTTGTCCCTGTTACTGAGATACATACTGAGGCTCTAGAAATGTGGGAGGTTGTTTCAGAAAACCTTTGCTATATAAATATGTTTGGCTTGGTTTATGTACTGTAAAAAGTTTGCTTGCAGCCAAGCTCAGTTATTTTTTTCCGTAGCCAGGAGACAAGACACCTCCTGGGAAAGGCTAGCTCGCCCCATTTCTTGCGCAGGCCAATTCTACTGATACCAACCAGATTCTGGTGATTCATCCTTTGATGTAAGAGCGAGCTCGGTGTGTCTGAAGGCGTCCGACCCCCCCTGCCCCCGACCTTTGTGTTTTGGATGGTTTGGGGTATTTTTAAATAAAAAAAAATCAGGCACTATGAGTCATGCAATTAATGTTACAAGTAAATGATTATTAATATATTAATTGTAGGGGTCAGTTTATTTCCTGCATAAGAATATTTATTTTTTTTAACAGCCTAATCGATGCTTTGTTAATCCTCCTTCCTGAAATCAATAGGATCTATGTGGATATACAGCAAGTGGGGAGGGCAAGAAGGGCCAGTTTGGTCTCTGCCCAACTTAGGGATGACGTAAGTAGATGAAAAGCTGCGTCATCGGTGAGATGAGACGGCAGTAAAACGGTGGAAGGAAGCGCATTTCCTTCTTCATCCCCGCACTGCTGCCAAAGGCGATGCTCAGCAGGAGGGCACGGTGCAGCTCCACATGGATGTGGGAGACCCGTGCGTTGTTGCTGTGTTGCACAACAATAACCAGCAGAGATTACTGGAGATTTGAGGCTTGTAAAGTCTCTCCATTATTCAAAATTTGATTTTGCCTTGATTTGTTTTGTTCTGTCCTAAACTATTCTTTGATAAAATAAACAATATTGAAAGAACTGCAGATATTTGTATTTGAGCTATCTTTGGTGTTTGTGTGTTAAAGGATTTTCTGAGCTAAAGGAGCCAGCCGGCAGTGCCATAGACTCCAGCGTGCCAGTCAAAGGCCAGAGGTATTCCATTAAATCCACTGAAATCACTCCAAAGCACATTCCTTTTCTGTGAACGTAACAAAGACACCACCTCCCCCGGGCAGTGTCTGCTCTGCCAGTACAACTGCACCAGCAACACTGCCCCTTCGGCAGGGGCCAGCCGCCTGCTGAGAGGGGCGCGTGCACTCTCCCGTTAGACACGCTGTAGCTGAGGTCGGACAAGGTCTGTGCCTTGAAGTGTTCCAAATTCCTTTTGTGTTACACTGTTGGAGTTCCACGGGGCCAAAAGCGTTGTTTGCGGTTCGCCGACAGGTCGCAAAGACTGCTGAAGGCCGCGGTTTGGAGGAGGTGTTAGGCCGAAGAACGTGGTAGCCACGTGGTTATTAGGAGCCCAATCCATGGTCTGTTAGAGGGCTCTGGCTATCACAGACTCCTCAGGAGTGTCACTCTCCTGCGCTTCTGCTTCCAGCTCTGAAGGAGCGTTGCCTTATGAAGCACAAGAGGTAGGCAGGGTGGCCTGACTGAGCCCTTCCACGTGAGATACGGGTCACCGAACTCGTCCCGCAGGCCTGTCACTGTGGGAGACCACACTGAACCTGTGGGTCCTTCTGGACTGAGGTCTCTGCTTGTTTTCAACTGTGATTCTCTACTAGGGCTTCCTAGTGTTGTGTTTTGGACCTGACGCTGGCCATGCTGTTCCCAAGGATGTGGAGTCGCTGTATGGAGACCGGAGCACAGATCTGATGACGGCCTTTGGAAGAGCTAATGTTGTCTGGCTGTGGTCCCGGCTATAACATCACCCAAGGTAAGATGTGGTGGTGTGGCTATGCCAGCAGCTGGTCTGCCTGTTGTGATCCTC